CTTCTAGACTCCACTTTCCTTTTTGGTCCCATGCAAGCAGTTACTCGTGTTCCCCTGGAGGCTGGGGGACACACACCGGCGCCCCCTGGCAGCCGCTGGACCCCCGTGGCTGAAAGCCGCTCTGGGTGGTGTCCCAGTGACAGCCCTTGCTTCTGTCTGCACCGTGGCATCCGGATCGCTGCGTGTATAGCCACTGCCCTGGGGAGCAGACGCTGGGGGAGCGTGTCAGTGCCTGTGTGCCCCTGCACGTGTGGGGGTCGGCCTGGAGCTTGGCCGGTGTGACCGTCTCCGTGCGCGTTTCCTCCGTGCTCTGACTGGGGCATGTAGGGCCAGGTGTCAGCCGTCTTGGGCACGTTCCTCAACAGGTCGGTGCTGTGCCTTCAGGCCTGAGCTCCCTTCCTGCCTTTGCAGTTACTCCGTCATTATCGAGATGGTCGACGAGCGCTTCGAAGGCTCCCTGCGCCGACCTTTCAGCTGGAAGTCGCTGGCTGCTCTGAGCAGAGTCTCGGTTAACGTCTCCAAGGTAACGAGGGAGCAGCCGAGCCCGCGTGTCCCTCCCGTGGTTGGATTGTTTTTATCATGTGGTAGAAACAGAAAGTCACTCATGGGAACTTGAGTGCTCTTGCCAGTGGAGCTCTGAGAGGGTGCTACAAGCTGTCTTCCCACCACCACCGGCTGCTGGACTTCAGGGACGACGCTGCCGAGTTGCCTGTGGCGACTGCGGCGGATGTGGGGGGCTCCCCCCTCCCCCCGGGCCCTGTGGGCATCACGCTCAGAGCTCACGCCCGACCACAGAGTCAGAACGTGGACACGTTCCTTTCTGATTAGCACGCCTCCTCACGAGGAGGAAGGGCGCTCTCAGCCACCACTCAGCGCTTCCCGCGGCGTCTCAGCCTGTTCCTGTCCTCGTCCTGCGGGGGTGTCGGGGCGCTGAGGGACCAGCCCGGGACCCTGCTGTTCACATGCAGCTCTGGGGCTCACCCAGAACTTCCTGGCACTTACCAAGATGGGAGGGAAATTCCACTTTACACCAGGGTGAGGACAGGAGCGTAGGGGTCTCTGTCGCTCTGTACTTTTCTGCCCTAAGAGAGACTGGGCCCACCCTACCCCGTTCCGCTGCTGCTGAGGCCAGGAGGGCCAGCAGGGCCAGAGGGCAGTGGCCTGGGCGGCAGCTACGTGGCTTTGACTTTCGCCCGGAAACGGTAGCTCTGCCCTGTGGAAATGGGGACCGGCGCTGTTGGTGCCGATGCCTGTTTCACGGGGCTCCAGGACCAACCCGGTGTGGTGAGGGCTGTGCTGGTGCCAGGTGGCTGCCTCTGCCCTCAGCAGCCAGCCCTTCGCCTAGCCGGGGGCCAGCGACGGCCCGGGAGGCGCAGCCCGGCGGGAGCAGTGGGCACGGCCCGTGCTTCCTGCCACACAGCTGCTTTGTGGGACTTGGGGACTGTCTTTCTCCGTAGGAACTTATGCTGTGCTATTTGATCAAGCCCTCCGCCATGACCGACAAAGACATGGAGTCCCCAGAATGTATGACGCGCATCCGAGTGCAGGTGGGTACACGCAGAGGCATATTCCTGCCGGCCAGAGGTGCTGTCCACGGGACGCTGGCCTCGGGACTCGCGGACCCAAGGACAGAAAAGGCGACATCTGCCTCAGTCGCCGGACGCACGTACCCGCTTGGCCTCGGGGGCTGCAGCCTCACTCGCTCTCCCCCAGCCCCTCTGCGGCGCCACATGGTTTCTGTAACTCGCAGTGCCGAGCAGCCCTGGGCCTGGCCAGGCAGGCCCTCTGGTGTCACTCCCAGAGACGCATGGTCACTGTTGCCCGGCCCCTCTGGGATGCCTGGCCTAATTCTGCATTGCCCTGAGTGTGTCCTGGCATCCGTCCCCCAGCGCCTGGCTTCTCCCGGTCTGCGCTCTGGCTCCCTCCCCTGGGCTGTCCCTCCTCCTTCGCCTGCCTGCCCATCCAGACCCGCTGGGGTGGGGGTCCCCTCCTCCCACCCCTCCAGGTTTGTCCTGCTTTTCCCCACTAGGTGAGGAAATAAAATGCTGGTGCAGATTGGAAGTACAGGCCCCTGCCAGCACCCGCTCCTGGGAAGCGCTAGTGGAATAGGGGAGGCCAGCGTGGCTCTTCAGGCCCAGGGTGTCCCCATGCGCCCCAGTGTATATGAGGTGGCCTGGCGCCCCCGTTCCCGCCAGAAGTTTCCAGTACCAGGGAAGTGAGTCGGTGGGCAGTGTCACTGAGAGGGCTCCGGCCGGCTTGCTCTGCTGTCGAGATTCGGCTGTCTTTCTGTTCGGATTGGTTACAGGAGGTGATTCTGAGCCGCTGGGTTTCTTCCCGAGAGAGGAGTGAGCAGGACGAACTTTAACCATCCACAGCAGATTTCCAAGGCCCCAGCAGGACTTTCTGAGCCTCCTATGGTAAAGCAAGTTCTGGGAGACGCGAGACGCCCTCTGATTGCCATCAGCCATTAGATTAAAAGCACTGAATAGTGTGGTGCTCACAGAACCTGCCGACGGTTCACGTTTAGAAGACAGAAGAACATGAGGTCCTCTCCCCGCCCAGCCACCTGCCCCTGCCCAGCCCTCACCCCCAGGCCCGGTGTGTCCTGTCTCTCCAGGGAGGAGGTGGGGACATGAGAGACCCAGCCCGCCAGGGACAAGCTGTCAGGCCTGATGTGGGTGCAGTGAGCAGGCCTGAATCTGCCCTCCCTGGAGCAGCTCCTGCTCAGGCCCCTCTTGTGGCCCGTGGCTCGTGGCCTGTGGCTCATGGCCCGTGGTCCATGGCCTATCTGTTCTTGGAAGGGGCGGAGAGCGGAGTTTGGGGTTGCAGGCCCCTCATCCCAGTAATATGTCTTGGCTCATCCCAGAACTTCAGCCACTGATTCAACACTTAGAAATCCGCTTACTGTCCTCCAGAAAGCACGTGAACGCAGCGACCTGGCTGGGCCAGGAGGCTCACTGCTGGGCTGCGTGGCACAGGACTGGACTGCCCTTTGCTTCCGTGGACATGTCACAGAGCGAAAATCTGCGGGGGAAGAGCACACGACATCTCATGAGAGCAGCTGACGTTTGCTACGACTCTGCAAGGCTCTGGTTGTGCTGTGTAATCTCAGCAGCCCATGGGCTCTCGGAGGGGTGCTGGGTGGAGGGCGGGGTGCCCAAGCCTCCCGGGGTGGGCACCAGACCCAGGTTTGCGTCCAGCTCACCCACTCATCGACAGTCCTAGCCTCGGTTTCCTTGTATAATGAAGTTGACGGTATCGACAGCCACATACACTGGAGTATAATCAGCCACAAGAAGGGGTGCCATGCCCACACGCTTCATCAAGATGGACCTCAAAAACATGATGACCCGGATCTCTGTCACGCTGTGTGATTCCAGCCCTCTCCCCGAAGAGGTAAATTGGGAAACACAGATGGGTGACGACCAGGGCCAGAGAGGAGCAGCTGCCAGGGGTACGGAGCTCCTTTTGGGGTGATAACGTGCTTGGAGTAACCACAGGTGGTGGTCTCATGACGCCGTGAATACGCCAAACGCTACAGAAATGTCCATTTTAAAGTAAACGGTTTGTATAATGTGACTCTCACCTCGGTTGTTAAGGTTTTTAAGTAAAAAGCAACTGGCTTAGGTGGTCGGTGCTTGGTGGGGGGCCATGCCAGCGCTCACATACCTCTGCGGGGGTGGGGGGTGGCAGCCAGTGCGGCAGTGATCAGGCCACGGCCCTGGGTGGCACTGCCACCTGCTGGCAGCCTGTGGGAGGTGCGGCTGCGGGTGCTGAGGTTGGGGAGGGTAGTGGTGGCCGCCAGCTGAGGTGGGAAAAAAAACAAAACGAGGCCCTCTTCTGCCAGTGTCGCTCCACATAGGAGAGCTGCCCCTAAAATGGGCACGAATGCAGAGTTCGAAGGTCAAGGGGGTACAGCCTGAGAGAGCAGACGCCCTTCTAACAGCGGTCCTGATTTTATCTGAACTATTTTGTGGGGGGTTGCTCACTGCCTTCCCATCTCGACTGCGTGAAAGCAGGGCCCCTTCCTGATGCCCCTTCCCCAGTGATGCGAAACACAGACCCGCTCCCACGCGGCCCGGCGACCCAGGCACTGAGAGCTCGGCCTCCCGCTCAGACTCAGGTTGGAAGCCTGGACTCGCCACCCTGGACTCTCAGTGTGGCATTTCCTCTGTCCCCCCTGTCGTCTGTAGGCCCTGCCTCCCGGGGTGTGCCCGAGGAGGACCCGGTGTGGGTCCTGCCTGAGACTCCCGGAGGCATCTCTGCTGCTGGTCATCGCGCGGAGATCTAGACCAGAGACGGGTCCAGGTGGGAGCCTTCAGAGGCGGGGGTGTCCCCCAGCCTCAGCACCCCCTGGATATGGCCACGCCCTCAGGGACGGGCACACACAGCTCTGCTTCAGATGGCATCGCGCCTTGTTCTTCTCAGAATTGCCTGAATTTGGACACGTCTGGTGACCTTTGCTAGTGGCCACCAGCACCTTGGCCCTGAGCACCAGGCTTGGCTTGGCGTCTGGAAGTCAGACATCATTTGGCACTGAGGTTGTGACTAGGCTCTGACGGCGTTGGGGCTCACGTTTGGTCAAAAACAAAAGCGAGTCTGGAAGCAGTTTCCAAAAAGGAGCTCAGAAGCGTTTGCTCACTGGTGACAGCTCGATGATGGCCTGGGCAGCGTGTTCTGGGCTTGGCAGAGCATACAGCCTGTAGCTGCTCGTCCCAGCCCCCGCGTCCTCCTGGGTGCCAGAGCAACAGTTCCTCCTGCGTCCTTCCGAATGCCGCACTGAGGGCAGGAGGGGGCGCTTTGCCCAGGTTAACCCAGCCCCTCAGCTCCCCTGCCAGGCATCAGGCCCGCTCGCGTCGACTCGGGGGTCCCATCCTGTCTGTGCACAGACCCCTAGGAGCCCGCTCAGGATGCCCGTCCCGGATGGTTCCTTTTCTTGTTGTGTTCGCCGTTTCTGACTTTGCAAAGGATGCCGGGTGTTTTGTAAACAAAAACACCGAGGTGAAGCAACGAACTCACGAGTCACATCCGCCTCTCCCGGCCGTGAGTCCCCACACTCCAGAGGGAGAACCTGTTCGCTCTCCGCCGTGTATAGGAAGTTTCATTGCGCTGTGTGCTCTGCCCACACGGTAGATGGCAAGTCCTGTTACTATTTTTTTTTTCATGGATAGTACTGCTTTAGTCATTGATTTTCAAAATAGTAAGTGGTTTCCAAAGTATAACTGCTCTATGTGCCGAAAAGAAACTAAGCTTCAAAATATACTGAGACACAGAATAATGTCAGCTCATAGAATAGTTATTTAGCCACCAGGAAGCCACTACTCTAATTCCTCTTGTTGGTTATTTTTTAAGATTTATTTATTTATGCATACAGGAGCTGGTGCACACAAGGCCAGAGGTGTGGGGGGTGAGACGATTCACCAGAGACAGAGTGGGGAGCAGGACAGACGGATGGACTGAAATCCTCTGCTGAGGGGAGCACTGGGGAGACAGGAGAGGGCTGCTGTGCCCTGTGGGCCACTCCTTGGCCGGGGATCGAACTCAGGCCATAGTGGCTGCCAACAGCTTCATAGTGCAGCTTTTTTTTTTTTTTTTTAAGATTTATTTATTTGTGCATACAGAACTGAGGTGCCGGCTAAAGGTGTGAAGGGTGAGAGGCATCACCAGAGACAGAGCGGGGAGCAGAACAGGCAGATCAACAGAAATACACTGCTGAGGGGAGCAGCGGGCCGGTCAGGAGAGGTCTGCCGCGACCTGTGGGCCACTCCCTGGCCGGGGATCGAACTCATGCTGCAGTAGCTTCGGAGAGCTTCATGATGCGCCACCAGGGAGGGCCCGTAGTGCTGCTCTTTAACCCGTTGTGCCACCCAGGAGATGCCCAGTGTGTCCCAGTTTAAAAGCTGAACCACGTGAAAGAACTGAGTTGGAGCACAGGCAATTTTGAAGACTCGGCAACTTTTACTGACTTCATGAATTCTTACACTAAGCAAGCACTCAGGGGAAGGGGACGGTGCCCCCAGCCCTGCCGCCGTCACCACCCTCAGCACGGAGCGCTGCCTTCAGGGCCGGCTGCCTCTGGGTCCGGGCCGGGGGTCACACAGAAGCCCCGCTCCTCCACCGCCCGGTACAGCGTGATGTACCTCGACGCCTGCCTCGTCCTGGGGACCACATATTTCTCCGTGAACTCGCTCTTGTCCAGCTGCCCCCAGCCCTCCATGGCGAGGATGCAGTTCATGAAGGTGAGGGTGTAACTGTAGCAGTTGTGCTGGTCTTCTTCATACCTGACAAAACCAGGAGCAAGAGGAGCAGGCTCAGCTCGGGAGCAGGCTGCAAAGCTGCCTGAGGGTGCCCGTCCCCTGCGGGTGGGCAGAGGCCGGCGGGGCCCGCGGGCTCTGCCACACTGCCCGAGTCCAGGTTGGCACGGACTCGCCCGTGTCAGAGGGGTGACTTAAATTCACGTAAACTAAACCCCAGTTAGGGGGAATTAATCCCACTGAGAATGTAGATTCTGCAGATGGAATTCCATGTCTCCGTCTGATGCTGTTTGCAGGGACGCATCGAAGCTTCACATCTACAAGTGCGAGGTCTTCTAAAGGGACGAGGGAACAAGGAATTGAGAAATGGATCGCCAGGTGGCTACAACTATGAAAAGGGAGGAGGGCTAAGTATATTTGCATTGGGAAATCATGTTTTTACTTAGTTTTTCAGGGAGTAAGGCGTATGCGGCACACGTTACTGAATGTCAGGTGTGTGATGCTCCCTGGCAAACAGCGAGGCGACTGAACTCTGAGCCTTTCCGCTCTTGGAACACTGAGCCTCTGTGGCGTAAGTCGGTTCCTCTCCAGAGGACCCAGGGTAGTTGGCTCCACCCCAGCTTAACTTTTCTCGCAGTACAGGCGCGCATCCCAGCACAGGTCAGCGGGAGGAGCAAGCCGCGTCACTCCTGCCGGGCGGGTAAGGGCAGGGAGCCCCTACCTGTGCGTCACTCCTGCCGGGCGGGTAAGGGCAGGGAGCCCCTACCTGTGCGGCAGCCAGGCCCCGGTGCCCGAGAAGTCTTCCAGGTACTTGTCCCACTGGTCCATCAGCCCGAACATGCCGGGCGGCAGCAGCGGGACACTGACGCTCTGCTCCCAGCCTGCCTCGTCCCGCTGCACGCCGAGCGCCGTGTAACTGTACACAACTCCTGCAGCAGAAGCAGAGCGGGGCAGGAGCCCCGGGGTGCACGTCAGCGAGGAGGGGCTCACCGCAGCCACCCACTCGTTCCGTAGCAGAAACCCAGCCGAGAGCAGGGGGCCCGCCCACGTTCTAGAATGTCCTTCCTCCAAGGTCAAGTTCAGGAAGCAACCAGCCGCCTGAGGGGTTTACGTGGGTCTTGCCTGGCACAGGGAGGGACGATGGTGACCCTGCCTCAGCAAAGCTTGGCGCAGTCACCCCCAGAAGTGGCTGTAACAGGTGCCCAGATAATTGTTCCCAAGTATCCGCACTGAAATCTGTATCTACAAAGGGGCCTGCCTCGTTTCCTTAAGGCAGCCATAACCGCCACGCAGGAGGGTCCATCACTCAGAGCTCCAGCCCAGCCCGTTTCTGCTCACTGCCATGAATTTTACGTGTGGGCCTGTGGCTGCAGCCTCCTCCCCCCAGGCTGTGTCCTGCCGTGTGAAGACCCCACAGTGGTGGGCGGCGTGTCCGGCAGGGGACAGAGGGCTGGACTCTGGCCCAGAGGTCGTGGGCAGCTCCCCCTCTGCAGCGGCTGCGTCTTGTCTTAAAAGCCCACAGAGCTCACAGGCCTGCGAAGCCCTGGGCTGAAGGAGCCTCCACTGCCCGCTGGCGCCCAGGCCTGGCCAGCACTCACCCGCTGTGCTGGCTATCCCCACGTGGAGGTCCGCCCTGCCGTCATACTCCCTGAAAGGAAACAGAGGTGTTCCTGACCCTGGCAGGGGGAGTCGGCCCTCCTGAGGAGGGAGCCCCAGGCCTGCACTCGGCTGCTGCCCCATCTGCCGGCGAGTACAGTCAAGGGCACGTGAGAGGTAGAAAAAGCTCCTCCACCCCCTCACTTGGATTCATTTGACCCCCAACACTAAAGGTCCTGAAGGCACTAGGCGCCGGCCCCACCAGAGCAAAAAGTCGGGGTAACATCAGGCTCCAGGGCAGAGGGGCCCCCAGAAGAGGGTGGAGAGCCACCTCGTAAAGGACACGAGCCCACGGGCTTCTGAATGCAGCTCCTGCCTTCTAAACGGAGTAGCCCGTTTGGGGCTGTGGCCTGTGGCCACACCCACACTGGCTGAAACCACCCTGAGGAGCTCGTGGGTCACCTGACAAGCCCACTCCCCACACGCTTGAGCCCCCGCCAGCAAGCCCAAGCCAACTCTCGGGCCCTGCGACTTCGGGCACGTCACTTTCTCCCGTGATCTGTTTCCCCATCGCAAAAGGGGCATTTCGTAAGCCTCCGAGCAAGCGGCTGGGCATTCAATGAAGGGGCGCAGCTGCACTGGACAGCAGGCTCCTCGTTAAAGCAGCGCCCTGGGCTTCCAGAAGCCCCTAACATGCTTGTTTGCCTAGACCAGGGCCACCTCCAGCCCTCCTGGTGCAGCCCCCGTGGGTATTTTGAGAGCCTCAGGGTTCCGAGGTTAAGAATGAAGCTGGAAGAAATGATGGCAGTGAGGGGCATCACCCAGCCGAGGTTCCCAAAGGCCCCTGCGCTCACTCTACACTTCGTGTCCTTCCTAATGCTGGGTAGGAATCTGCAGAGTTTGGTTACTTCCAAAGAAAAGTAACTTTCCATTTAACAGATCTTTAAGTGTTAGACAGGTCCTGTCGAGGGGAAGAACACATAGGAGGTTACAGATATTTCAGAAAAATAAACAGGATACCTTTAACGAGCAGCCTGGGTTTCTGTGGCCGCCACTGCCGTGGCCGCCACCATCGTGGCTGGTGTGCAGTGCAGCCTGCAATCACACAGCCTCGTGTGGCAGCCATGGGACCCCGGCCCGGTTAGATCGGAGCCTCAGCAGTCCTGCGGTCACTGCTGGTTCTCTCTTACGGAGTCGGTGGAATTAGCTTACTTGAGGGGTCGGACATTGGATGAGTGGGAAGGAAAGTGAGAGAAAGTCAGTGTTAGAAGGATGCAGGAGCCCTGCAGATCCTGCCCAGGGCAGCTTAGGGCAGAGGAGGAAGCAAAGCCCATGGCCTGTCTCATGACCACCTCACCCTCCTGCTGTGCCACAGGAGGCCACAGGAGGCCCGTGCTCATTAGGGGCACCCGAAAGCTCAGCGTGTCAAACCTCGTTCCATGTGGGCAGAGCGGGCTCCCAGTGACGTCACTAGTGTTTCCTATGAGTTTCTCACTAAGGATTTGTTGCGTGAACCAACGGTGGGGCTAATCAATTCTGAATCTTAACCACGTTTTTCAGAAGTTTCCAGAACCCAGCCAGTCAATGGCTCTGCATCAGCAGGGACAAGGGGCTCTCGCAAAACAGTTTGGGCTTCATGATTCTGACTGATGTGGAAATGGAGGTCCTGCCAGGCTGTGGGTCAAGTCCAAAGTAAACAGAAAGGCTGGCTAGGAGCGTGCTGGTACCACTGGGGTCTGGCGCCGGGTCTCTGAGCCTCAGCCCCTGCAAGGTGGGAGAGAAGATTCTCCTTTTACACAGGAGGGGCCTGAGCCTCAGAGCTGGCAGGAACCAGCGTCGGGAATGGGGGCAGCGTGGCCCAACCTGTGGCGAAATCTCTGCACCCCATCCTTCCTGAGACAGAGGCATGGGTGCAGCTTTTTAGCACTAATGGTCTGGCCAGCACACCTTTACGCACTTTGGGTCACTGAGTTGGTGACCGGAAGCAGCCAGTGGGCTCCACCCTCCCTAGCTGGGGCCGGTCCCCTGAGGCAGTGAGAGTGGGAGAGTGGATGGCGAGGCCTGAGGGCTGTGGGCCAACTCACCCCCGTGGCCATCGCAAGCCTGACACCCCAGGACCCACCGTAAACTCCACTGGGACACTAACCAGACACCACCTTTCTCGTGATTGCTGAGTCTTCGTCAGAGTCAGGTGGCATCTGCAGCTGCATGAAGCAGCTCTAGTCTTCAGTGTCCTTCACCTCCATGCAAAAAAAAAAAAAAAAACCACTATCAGGGACCCTTCGGCGGGCCCCAACTGGTACCTGTTTCCATGGAAATGACAAGCTAACTCACGGTAAAGGTGTCATTTCGACAAGCTCTGCTGCTGGGTCACTGTCCCAATTTAGCTCTTAGCACAAAAATCTATAGATGAAAAAAATCTCCAGGCTATTGATTTTCTTAAAATCGTAGCAGCAGGTTTGACCCTCACACATTCTTCAGATAGTGACATGTGCATCATGCCAGGAAAGCCCACGCACCATCCATTTTAAAACGCAAAGCTCTGCCTTAGAACTCACTGCTTCCCACCAAACCTCACACCACACAGTGCATCAGAAAAAGAAAGGTTTTAGTGAGTGAGACACGGAAAGATCGAGACAATTCAATCCAACACCCAGAAAGCACTGTACCTAAGAAACGTCCCGTGCGTGGGTCTGAGAAGAAAGGAACATTTTTCTTGGTGTCCGTTGGTGAACGGGCTGGAGATGCTGACAGGTGCCTCTGCCAGCCTCCACGAGCCCAGGTCCTGGTGGCAGAGGGGGCAGCGGCTGGGCATGCTGAAGCAGTAGATGGATTTCTTACAGTGGCTGAACTTGATCAAAGGCTTTCCGGCCTCTGTGAGCTGCATGGCTTCCCCCACGGCAACCCGGCTGTTTCCAGAGCCTTCCTTTTCCTCATTACACAGCGGCGAATGAACACCGCCCAGGTAACCTGATCATCAGTGAGGTCACCCTAACCGGCCCTTCAGGAGCCAAACCAGGCCGGGTTAACGGTTAACCAGGCTGCCCCATAACCTGGTTTCCTGAAGAGCTCGTGCACCTGGTGCCCACGTACCCATCTGCAAGCGTCTACACCTGTGCTTCTCACCCTGCGATCCCTGCTTTTCCTGAAGCCTTTCTCTCCCTTCCCGGCATCTCCCCAGGTGGCTCACGGTTCATGTTTCTGTCAGAGCTGTGTCATTTAATTAGTCATTAGCCTGTGAGCTTCTTGGAATTAGGGACAAGGATCTTGGATTGTTCACTATTAATATAAACCACAAGCTATCATGACTGAGTGACGCAAGTTACTGGCAGCTAAGAATATATTCATTCCATGATATAGAACAGGTTATATTGTTTTGGTTTTGAACATATGAATAAAATCCTTCCTCTTGATGTTTTAAATTGAATAGATAATGTTCTTTTGATGTTTTAAATTGTATAGATAATGTTGTTCTTTTAAAAGTAACCACGCAGTTAAAAAATAAGGATAGTGGTTATCCCAGGTAACCTTCAGGGTCACTGACGGTCCCAGCACATGAGGGGTTTCTGGGGTCTCGTGCTGTTCTTATCCATTAGCTGGACACTAATTTTAGAAGTTCTTAATTCATTAACTGGACACTGATGCCCATTTGTCAAAATTCATCAAGCTTTACTTTTGTAAAATTATTAGAAGATACATATATGTGTGTGTGTGTGTCTGTATGTATACAGACACACACACACACATATATATAAATCTTTAATTTTAAAATAATTTGAGCAAGTGAAAAAGGGAAATGCCCCCCAATTTCTCCATAACATTTTCCCACCTACCATGTTCTGCTCTCTGAGAAAGTAATTGTAAGGTAAGTGTGTATTCCCTCAGGTAGTATTTTCTCAGGTTGGTGAGGATTTCTTCAGGTATTGAGTACCTTCTCATGTTTTTTATTATTTTTTTTAAGCCTCTGTTACATTATATACTGTCATGAAATTTCTGGTTTTCTCTCATCTTGGAAACTTCCACAAGTTGGTAATGTTTCCTAACCTGCATGTAAATCACGACAGTCTGCTGAAAGGTAGAAGATGCACATTCAGGGCTACCGCATGAAAACGCCTCACAGAAGTCACTGTAACCAAACCTCCCTCATTCCTGTGTAGGCAGACGGGACACAGCTCAGGTGACAAGGACCTGGGATTGTTCATTATTACGATAAGTCACAAGGCTATCATGTGGTTGAATGACCTGAGTTACTGTCCCCTGGAAATATATTCATTTCATGATCCCAAGAGTTATCGTAAATCTTATGGAAAGGCCTGAGACATTCTGCCTCAGTGGGTATTTTTCAATACGCTAACAGTCTTATCTTAAATATGGGCATCTTCAATCTTTTTTACCTTGTTCTATTTTTTTTAATCTTATTGTAAAAACACAAACAGAAGACTAAACAAGCCCAATGCATAGCATAATGAATCTGGGGGTGTCCCCTCCTCTCCCCATTTGCTACAAAGAATAAGGAAGCATTGGTAATTGTGGCCTTTTGAGGAATCATTTCAATGTCAACCCCTGGAAACTAACCCTCCAGTCAAGACTTTCTTCAGCCATCTCAGAACCCCCTTCAGGATCCCATTCTATCAGAACCTCCTTCTTCCTCCAAAAGTCACCCCTACCCTCACTTTCCTTGTAATAACTCTTAATTTATGATTCGTAAGGGTGCAAAAATCACAAACATAATGAATAATTGGTAATTCTAATTGGTAGAAAGAATAATATTTCAGGCCAAGGGGGTCATATTGGTCATTCAAAGTTGATTTGATGTTTAAAAAAATCAATCTAATTCAACACACTAACTGAATAAAAATAATAATGGTCTTCTCAGTAGATGGGAGAAAAAGATTTGATCAAAATCAAGACATATCCATGATTTTTAAAAAAACTCGTAAGAAAACTTAGAAAGGGAAAGAAACTTCCATCATTCGTTAATGAATAAAATTTAAAACCCCGTGGCTGAAAATTAATTCGTGGAAAAATATTAAATACTTTCCCCTAATTCAGGAACAAGACATAATGCCCACTATTATTAATTATGTAGTGAAGAGACCAGACTTTACAAAAAGGCAGTAAAAAGGATGTAAAGATGAAAAATGAAGTAAAAGTATCTTTATTTGTTGATGGTACAATTGTGTGTGTAGAATGTCCAACAATCTACAAACAAGTCATTAGAATTAATCCATGAATTTAGCATGGAGCAAGCAACAATTAATAAATTCATAAAGCATTTTAAATAGCATTTTTTAAAACTTCCACTAGATATCTAGTAATATATCTAATAAAAGTCGTTAAAGACCTATACCCTGAAAACGACATATTTTCCTATACACAATATAATTTTCTGAGAAAATTTACAAAACGGGATTCCATATCTTGATTACTGGAAGACTCCATGTTTGTACAGCTAAGTAAAAGAACAACATGCATTTATATAGAAAAGGGATAGCGCTCACAGGTATGTTAGTGAATTATTTCATTTATACGAAGATCAAGAACATGCAGACTAAATTAATGTGATACCAGTGAGAATAAGCCCAGCATGGCCTGGGAGGAGGCATAAGGGACCATATGTAAAAGCTCATATATACATCTTGTGCACTTTCTACGGCCTGTTCTAGCTCAATTTTTAATTTTACTGTTTTTTGAACATGGGGATAGTGCGGGCAGGACCCTCCGCGGAGGCTTGGAGAAGCCGGACAGGGAGTACCGGCACACGCGGCCCGCCCGGCCTCTCCTCTGGGCGGAACCAATTGTGACGGCAGCGAGGTTTCCCACCGGCACTACAAAGCTGCAACACGGGAGGGGCGGTGTGCGCCTGCGTGACGCGGCTGCGCGCGATGTGCGGGGCCGAGGCCGTGGCGGCGGCGAGAGGCGGCGGCGGCGACGGCGACGGCCCTCCAGCGCCACCACCATGAGCACCAAACAGGTCACCTGCAGGTCAGTGCGCGACGCCGCGGGGTCCGAAACGCCACTCGGGCCCCTCCCGGGAGCTGGGGCCGTCCGTGCGGCCTCGTCTTGCGTCAGGGAAACTGAGGCAGGAGCGGGTTTGGGAAAGTTGCCCGGCGGCTCGCGGTGCGGCTTTCCGGGGCGAGCTGGCGCCGCGGCCCGCGCCGGGG